TCCACTATTATAGTTCTTAAGTACCTTGATACACTTCAATAGAATCCCCTTCGTGGGAATTGATATCACTTGCTCTCCACCAGTGGGAAGTTTGAATGCCCATGTGAAGTATTTAGTGCTTAAGACAAATTTGTAGTTGTTGGTGTGCATGAAGTCTTCATTTTATGCTGGAAGAATCTTCTTAGCAATATTGATCTCATACTACTTTTCCATGATTTTGGAGAATTCATAAAGCCCAACTTCATGTAGCCAAGTGTTGAGCTCTTCAATCCTCTTTCAAGTAGGATTGCAAGGTGAGAGGAGACTCACCTTGATTATGCTGACTACCTTGGGATAGAAGATAAACTTCTTGGTGATGCTGCATGCTTATGTGCCCTGTTTTCCCATTTTGTTTTCTTGATCTCAGTGTGAAATATTGTAGTCGAAGGCATTAGGGTTAAGGATTTCACCATTTCATCAAATTTGACTATATGTTAAGTGGTTTGAGTTCAATTCTCTAGCTTGAATTTTCTCTTTATTGATGTTGTTTTCTTGTTGGACCTTGTTTTCTCTTGATCTTGTATACATTTGTTGTTGAATCTTAGTGGATTGTGATGATTATTGATTATAATAGTGTCTTTTCTTGATTTCTTGAACTTGGAGTTTGAAAATTTTATTTGAGTTGAGTTTTCAAGCTTGATTCTTCTTGGAGTTATTTTCTTTTGTTTGATTGTTGAAATTTTCTTTGAGTTGATTTCTTGAGTTTGGATCTTGAGCTTTATTTCTTAAAATTTTTTTAAGTCGATTTGCCTTTTTATTGGAGTCTTGAATTTTGTGTTATAATTTCTTGAATTCTTGAGTGTCATGCTTGTGATTTTATTCAATGTTGGATTCTTGAGTCTCAAAGTTGTACTCTTCACGTCTTCCAAGATCATTGTTAATAAAATTGGTGCTGATCAATCAATATTTATTAAGCTTGTTAAGGTTAACAGTTTAGAGATATTTGTTGTCAAGTGTTGTAATTACTACCATTCATAAAGCTTTAACTTCACATCATCCCTCCTCTCAGAAAAATGAAAGGTAATTAGGGTTCTTTTGTTGATAGGTTGAGATTTGAAAAAACATGAGGAAGAAGCACTGGTGAATTTATAGATAGTGCAACTAAGTTGTTGAATGTCATATTAACCTTTATAAACTTGTGGTTCAACTTACCACAATATTTGATATAGTCCCTTTCCTTGAGCAAAGAGCCTCTTAAACAAAACACATACCATAAATTGGGAAAATAAACTAGCACTAAATCATTTATTTTACTTTATAAATGGACAATAATGAGAGTTGTAGTCTCTTTATTGTCTCACTTGAACCAATAGAAGAACCAATGGAAGAATGCTTATTAAATATTGATCTTAAAACTTAGTATTATAGCTTATGGGAATTGCACTTAACCTGTATTGACTAACACAAAAAAAATAACTAAGGATCTTTTGTTATAAAACTGAGTTTGAAAAATAAACACTAGATGAACTAATGCCAAATTTATTCATTTAAGGTCCCTTCACTACTTATATGACTCTTTATTTTTTGGAAGAATCTCACAAAAACTTTCCACTATAGTAGCACCAATAAAATGTTGTTGATGCCAATGCTTCCATCTAAAAAATAAAGGATGTTAATCAAGGAAATGCTAACAATGTTAATATTGTTTAGCTAACGTAGGAGCAAACATCATAGCTACAACCATATTCTTACCCTTAAACATGGGCAACAATACCATTAACCTCTATTAGAACAAAAAAATTTCCTCCAGAAAATGGAGTTGAAAAGTGATGTTTTTATAGTATTGTGTTAGTTGAAGAATATTGTTAAAGATAGTTAGGGTAGGTGCATTACAAAATCTTGATAAAATGTTAACCATAACATATTCAACTTGATATGTTTTAACATATTTGGCTTTGCATGAAATAAGAGACTTTAAAAGTGAACATTAAATTGCATAAGTAACTTGAGTGGCCCTTAACAAAGACAATGCAATTGGTAAAAGGCATTATCACAGTTGTCAGCATATCCAAATGCACACTTGAAAACGTTCAGGAAAAAGCTCTAATTTGCATAAATAATTACATTCAAACTATTATACCATTGCAATACTATCCCTTAAATATGTGGGAAACTTGCATAGACACTAGATATTATCCCAAAAATGATAGTTGTCAATCATTACAAAGTGATTGAACCAATAGTACACATTATCCTTAAGATTCCCATTAAAAAAATCCAATTATATATGCAGCAAAAATAAAAGGAATTGCACCACATGTTATAAATACTACCATTCATTGAGTTTGATTTGCATAGCATCAAAAAATTGCATTAATTGCTATTCTAGAGTTAAAGAAGGAGAAAAAGGTTGCTACAAAGGAGCAATATGCTATTTTTCCATAAAGATGAGCAAAAAGAAAATAAAAAAACAAAAGAAAAGAAAAGAAAAGCTATAGGAATAAAGGAGATTTAGATAATACAAAAGTTAAATCTAAATAAAAAACACAAATCCAAACATTCTTTTGGGAATATATATATCTATATATATATATATATATATATATATATATATATATATATATATATATATATATATATATATATAAACTCCATATGTTTGAAAGATTCTAAATAAATTTTACTCAAAATTATAATATAAATAATATAAGTAAATATTAATTAATAACTTTTCCATCAGTTGTTTTTTATGCCACCCAATGAATATTTGTATTCAAATTTATAAGTAATCCAAAAAATGTACAGCTTCACTCACCTTTGTGATTTACTTTCATGGCAGGTTTTATTAAAATAATTATGGTTTTAAACATTCAAATACATATAAGAGAATATCCAAGCGCCGTTTAGGGTTTAGGGTTCTTCCTAAATGCAGGAGGCATAGCTCTGGCCTCTTCCACATGCCCTCTGCGCACCGCGCGAGCGATCGCAGGGGACATGTGGAGGATGCAAGATGTATGCCTGTTCCGCGAGCCTTCTATTGCATTTCTCAAGGTATTCTAGATACAGTGATCTCAGAAAAGCTCTACTTGTAGCTTGATTCAAGGGGAAAACTCCACGGAATAGACCCTCTCCTCTTCACGGTTGCCAAAGTTGAGACGGCGAGCAGTCACCTCGATCATGGACCTCCCAAAGAACATACTCACTAGCACCGCCCGCCCTCGTCCCAGCTCCACGCCACTCGACACATCGATCCCGAAGCTCTCCTCCAGTGTGCTGCCCACCTCGGTCACAAACCTGGGATGATCTTTGATCGAGGTGTAGAGCTCCAGCCTGACCTTCTCCTGCTTGCTCCCGACTGGAGAAACGATCGTCTCGACCTTGGAGTCTTGAGGAACCGGCTGGTTCTTCCGGACGGAAACAAGGAAATTATTTTCACAGCACAGGTGGCCATCTTCGTCCACGAGCATATACTGGAGAGGATCTCCGACCTCGAAAGGACGAATGGAGCTCATGCCGTAAGTCCTCCTAGAGATCCTCGACAGGACGAGGCGATCGTCAAAGCCCAGCATCACAGCTCCATTGCAGATGGCGCTTCCAGGATTTGGAGGCACGAAAACCTTCGCGACTCTCTCTTTGAACGCCTCCCTGACTCGCGTGACAAGGTAGGGGTTGTTCGCGAATCCACCGACGAGGAAGATGTATCTCACCTTGTCCGAGCTCCCGTCCAGCTGCTGCGAGATGAGATGGACGATCTTGTCGACCTCGGGATCAAACACGGCCTTGATATCGGTGGCGTTAAACTTGAGCTCATCGTACTCGCCATAGTCTCGTTCCACTCCAAGCTTTTCGTCGTGCTTCCTCCACGCTTTGGAGAGCTTGCCGGGGATGGTCCAGGTGCTAACAAAGTCCGGTGAGCCATCGAAGGAGCACTTGACTTGGAACCACCATTTCATGAGCTGCATTCGATTCTTGGCGAGCTTTACAAACTCCGGCAGGCATCCAATCTTCTCCGCGAGGAAGCTCATCATGTTCTCGTCCACGAACGTTGCGCCACCTATGGCACCCGAGCAAGCGCTAGTCTCGCGGACCTTGACACCGTTTTGGAACGCTCGGGTGTGGACGACAGTGTCGATGGTTCCACCACCGACGTCGGCAACCAGGAAAGTATCGTTTCTCTTGAACTTGAGCGAGTCTATGAGCTTTGTCTGGCAGTAGAAGGACGCGGCTTCCGGCTCGAGGATGATCTTGACGGGAAAGTCAGCGCTGCTGATCCCTGCTGCCTCGGCAAAGGTACGCATATTTTGTTTGGCAGCGTCGTCCCACAGGGCCGGAACCGTGAGGCACCACTGGACTTCTTCCTCACGGAAGAAGTTCTTATAGAGTTCTTTGAGCTGGAGCTTGGCAAAGGAAGAGATGCAACGGAGATAATCGACTGTTACTTTCTCCACGCTGAGACCACGATGAAGAAGAAACCATGGAGGAAGAGGAGGAGAAGAAGAAGGTTGTGCCGGAGCTAGATGCAGCTTAAACTTGGTGACGAAGATGCTGCCCGAGTTGTGACGCTCGGCGTCGTGTCCCCAGTGCTGGAGCTCGAGAGATGGAGCGGACGAAGGCGATGGCCAGGAGGTTGAGTAGAGCAAGCTGGTTTGCGTCTTGCAATACGGCTTCGCTCCGACTTCTCTCTGGCTGGGCCATTCGTAGAAGGAGTGGATGTCGGATGGATTGGACCTGTGAGCAAAGGCGAATCCGGAGAAAGTAGTGCCGAAGTCGAGACCCACGACGTATTTTGGAGTGCTCATCGCGATTGTAGGGAACTTTGGACGCAAGAGAAAAGGATAGCACTGCTTATAAGTTAGCTCCTTCTTGCGAACTTGCAGTCACACTCGGCTGGGAAACTTAACTTTTGTGTTGGCCAAAAACAAGATATAAATCGTATCAAATTTCGTTCGAGAGGATAGATAAAAACTTGGCAGCCTGTTATAAGCCGTTATCACCGATTAGTGTAGGCTTGTAGGCACGTCGGCTGAGAAAGTTTGAGCTTAATGTGGGAAGATTAAATACACATGCTGTTGTTTTAGAACCAAAGATGAAAAACTTACGAACTCGTTTTGGAGGCAAAGGTGACAAGTTATGGTTTCATTGAGAGCCATTCTTTCACATTGGAGTGTATAAACGCGTGAGCTCTAGCCAGTTCCCTGCACTTTGTGGTGTTTGCTGCATGGGAAAACAGAATTTAGAAGGTATGACTGTAATGTTTGCTGTATAAATTAAAAAACCTGTAGTTTCTCTACATGGTGCTGAAAGATCCACACAGTGGGAGCAAGTGTGGCAGCGCAAAACCAGTGCTGGCACTGCACACAAAAGAATTGATAACCTTGCCTGATGGAAACTAATATATGCTCACTATCTTTTGATGAAGTTTGCTTGGATGCATGGCGCCATGGGTCCTGGGATCCGTTCAGAAACATAATTCTTGAACCTGCTCAACGTTTGATTGATCGAACCATTCGTACCAAGAAACACAAAGGTTTACCTGCGATGTTCCGACCACCATAGTACAAGTTGGTCGTTTTCACGTCTGGAAACGTTCCATTTCCAAACTGCTCAGAACAATAGTTTATAAAAAATCTGGAAGCCTTTTCTTTAATCCAGTGTGAAATTTTACTAAACGTACTTACTGTGTGTTGATACGAGAGGAACGAACGCTGCTCTTCCGATCGGATGCAACTTGAAAATATCCCACTTCGGTACAATATTGAAAATCCCAGCTCTCGTTATCTCGTTCGTTACCATTAGTATCGTTGTTAATTCTTTCCAAAATCTTTGCATATGTTTTCTGTAATAAAGCATTTCTACATATGTCTATTATGTGTATATATAAGTTTGCGTACCAATAGGTTCCTGTTGCTTTTCTCTGCTTTGAGCAAAGGATCACATAAGCCATCTATTTTACCATATTGTATCTGGAGTATAAACAACACATGATTATACATAAACGTTATACTGTATGATTCATACTTCGCCAGCTGCAGCATTTGCTACATAGTCAAGAAGGGTATCATCTGTAATCTGTAAAGAAGAAAACAAACACATGGAAATATTAACTGTCAAGATAATTGAGTTTCATTGGGTAAAGAAAATGATTACAGGCTTACGTACATTATCCTGTGGAGAGAAACCGAATAGATATTTTATTTCCGTTGCATTTTCTACTAAACCTTGCTCGGTTAGCCTGGTAATTTCTTGTAGTGCCTGCTTGCATTTTGGTCCGACAGACACTCCCAGCTAGGCAAAGAATTTATAGATAAAAACAGGAATTCATCCCAGCAGAAAAGATAAGAATATTAGAAACTATGTAACTTATTCTTACCTGCTTATCGTAAGCACTGTAGTCTAGGATTGCCTCTACCACGGCCGAGCTTGCCCAGCTGCCAGCAACAAGATGAGGAAATTTAAGCCTAAACCAAGCGCTCAAAGCACCCGCATATGAACCTCCTATAACAATCCATGGATTTTTTTCAGTTTTGTTATATTTCTGGTTGATCAAGTCCTGCCATTGAAAAGGGGAAATATATATTTTTCTTGACAAGAGAGGTACTTGCCTGATAGTAGTCTATAAACACAGCATGATCAAAGAGAGATTGTTTTGATGTTAGATACTTCAGGTTGTGGAGATTCAAATGCTGGAACGGTGAGCTGTGGCCATAGTAGCGATGCTCGACTGTAACAATTGCAGCTCCGAAAGATTCAGCCAGAGTCTGAAACGTAAGTAGTAATTATTTAGGATAATCATAGAAAGAAATATAACTCACCCCTACGTAAGTGGTAACGTAATTTCCTGTGCAAGTTGACTCCCCACACATCACTAGAAATATTGGCCCATTGCGAGGACGAAAGAAATCGAGAAGCTCTAAATACTTCTGAGAAAATACTCGTGGATCCTGAAACAGGAAAGAAAAATCAGAGGAAAGATGCGAACTATGACCACACCTCTGGAGCGAAATGGTCAAGCTTCTGCCTGGTAAAGAAATTTACAGTCTCCTTGCCTCTTGGAGGTGACCGCGAGCCCGCTGGTAGAAATTCCGGCTTGAAACCAAGCCGTGACGCGGGCACAAAGGCGCTGCTAAAGCTTGTGGAAGTTGCAAGTAGAACGAAACACACAAGCAACACTCTCATCTTCTCTTCTCTAGCTGGAAGATATCGAGAACAAGTTTGCCTCAAGAACAGACAATGGCGGCCTCGATATCTAGCCAATGCTCAATCTGTAAGAACCGACTTTGCCTTGAGCTTTTAAGCATACTATAGCGGACCACAGAGACCGTCATGACTTTGACATTCTCTGGTCCTGGAAATCCACTAGAGGTGCTGGGCCTCCAACATGCATAAAAAGAGACAGCACAAGTTCCCGGTCAAAAGCTCACTTCCAGAACAAAGTCCCGGTCAAAAGTCCACTTCCATACAATAATACATGTTTTTCAGGTCTGTGAGCACCCATAAGACCACTGGGTACTGGGTCCATATGGTTCCCTCAATGAAAAAGAAGAATGGAAGATATTTACCAAGAAAAACATTCACTGTTTTGTTGTCAGCTTCAGCACCACCACTCGTGACCACTCTGTACAATTGCTTGAAATTCACAGTGTCAAACAAAAAGGACAAAGTTCCTTATGGATTCAAAGCGGGTCCCATGACTGTCTCCATTGCTTTTGCCATCAAAATAGTTTTCCAAATAAAATTAGGTTATTCGTGGTCATGTAAGGCAAAGGCTGTTAACCTCCCCAATTATTACTCCTGAATAAACTAAAAGGAAGAAAACAATGAGTAGGAGCTTTCACTGTTGTTGCCAGGTTGAGCTCCACCACTCTGCACAACTGCTGAAATTCAGTGTCAAACAGAAAGAACAGTGCAGTACTGTTTCCAATTCGCATTACAGAAACGTGGTCGGCCTACGTAAATCAGGACGCATTTTTTTCATTAGATAAAAATCGTACATAACTTTTCTTGTTATTGGAGTTCCCTTTTGAAATACCACAAGTCAACATAGTCAATTTAGTCATAATCAACAACTCGTTATGCAGAACATTATTTATAAAATATTATTAGACTACCCCAAGATGGATGCTGCGACATTGAAGTGGGAAGCTAGCACATGAGAGAATTGCGAGGAGCAAATCCTTTACCTTGCAAATCTTGTTGTATGGCAAGTGCAGGAGCATGGACGAGGCAAAGGCAGTGTTCCCCAATGATTTATGTTGGTCGTAGCATATGCCCAAAACAAGCATCTTTGTGAGGCCCGGTTTCCCATAGGAAGAATGCCGCGGCCAAGCGTGGTCGCGTTTACGACAACCATAGCCACTTTTCCAGCAAATCCGGTTTGACCATGCAAGAGTCATGCTGGATCAAATGCCGCAGCTCGACGTCGTGACCTGGACCATGATGATCGTTGTGAATGCGGATTTGGCAGCGGCAAGAGATGTCTTCAATCGAATGCCGCAGCGGAATGTGGGTCGTGGACAGCGACTGTGTCGGCTCTCGCGCAAGCCGGATCTTATCGAGACCACATATGTTTTCAAGTGGGACACATGTCGAACTTCATATTAGTCCGCTTAAACAAGGCGACCTTGTTCTCAGCTGGAAACGGAGAGGATGGCTCTGAATTAGTCCCCTGACATAGGTTCCTTAAAACCTTCATGTGACCTTGTTTATAGCAACGCGATTTTTACAGATGTGCCCGCCCGAGATCATCAGACAGCCCGGTCTAAGCTTTGTTCCGGGCCATGAAAACGTAAGATCACGTCACCACCAAGCGTCAGCGTCCTGGTTAAACAGCATTTCAAAGAAACAAACGAACTTGTAGTTACAAGGCGAGCAAACTATCCTTGTTATTCCCACTCAACTTAGGGAAGGCTGCAGGATGGCTACAGCAACTATGACTACGAGATCGAAAGCCGCGAGGTGGAATGTGGCGCGGGAAGCTATGGGAGTGTGAGGCTTGGCGTGTACAGGGAACAGGCAGTGGCAGTGACGAGCAACA